TGTATTGATCCATACATAGTGTGTATTGTTCCATACAAAGTGTGTATTGATCCATACAAAGTGTGTATTGATCCATACAAAGTGTGTATTGATCCATACAAAGTGTGTATTGATCCATACATAGTGTGTATTGATCCATACATAGTGTGTATTGTTCCATACAAAGTGTGTATTGATCCATACAAAGTGTGTATTGATCCATACAAAGTGTGTATTGATCGATACATAGTGTGTATTGATCCATACATAGTGTGTATTGATCCATACATAGTGTGTATTGATCCAAACATAGTGTGTATTGATCCATACATAGTGTGTATTGTTCCATGCATAGTGTGTATTGTTCCATACACAGTGTGTATTAAAGCCCTGTATTTAACAGGTATATACAGATACATGTATTGTTGCACCTTTAATCTTAGAAACATGAAAGATTACAGAAGTGTAATAAGGATGTTAGACAGCCTCTTTGCAGCTGTTTCATTATAACCACATGAAGATTCACAAGGGCATTACAGCCCAGATTATTGACTATTATAGTCTATTATTTTTCTCAAACGTGGTAGTCTAAAGGTACTTTCTAACAGCAGATATTCAGCTTTGTATAAAAAGATCTTTTCAAATATAAAGAACTACTCCTCCACCTCCTCTTCCTCCTTTACGTGTCGTCACTAAAGTGCTTCATTACCGGATCGATACAGTATTTCCTGYTGCGTTCTAAATTTAGGGGCTATTATAGTTATATGATTCTGTTAAAAATGAGACCGGGGCATCAGAAACCTGTCTGTGAGCGTGCTGAAGCAGGATGAAACAGGAGGCAACAGAAGATGGGTGAAAAGTCCAAAACAGAGGAGGAAGGCAGCGAATATAGACCGGCCTACATCTTCTGTTTCAAGCTCCCTATGAGAGCAAATAAAACGAGTATGTCGGCCTGAGAGTGCAGGAAGCAGGTAAAGTCCACATACAGTTACTCTGCACTTCGTGATTCTCTTATGTAAAAAAGGCTATTGTGACTGGATGCATCCAGAATGTGAGTTGGACGAATGTGGGAGGCAGAGACAGAAGGACGCACAGATGGAGCAGAGACAGAGGGATGATCAAATTAATAAACAAATCATCAACATGCAACTACTCAAAACCGCCATTGTATCGAATTATCACTGCGACTGGCGATTTTTAACATTTCACCAACGCTTCAGTGTCGTTTCCATTCCATGTGCGACCTTTAAACGGGATGATACGAGCGGCACGAGTGAATGGCGAGCACGAGGCCCGCTTGTTTTACTCATACTCACGCCCACGTGCTCATAAAGGACAATCAAAAACTGCTCAGATTCTGCGTTTGAGCAAGAAATACCGACCTGATGGGATTTTTTTTCAATGTTTATCTAAAGTCCTGTCCAGAATACATCTTAGAAATGGTTCAAAATTCAGTTTATAATGGATCCATGTTGACAGGAGATGCAGAGCGGGAGGAGGGGGGGGGGGCTGCCATGATGCAGTTTACTTGGCATCTGAAAATATATTTCCTCAAAGGTATTTTTAATCTGAAAAGAGCTTCACTGAGTGAGAAAAAATGTTGAGAGCTCAGCAGACATTTAGGTTTCACTTTCACTTTCACCCGAGAGCCTGCAGGAGTCATGGGCAGGGTGTGTGGGGTGGTGGGAGGGGGTGCGCGCTGCCATGAGAAAGTTCTTCTTAAAGATACGTCCCAGGGGCGTTTCTAGTCCCCAGAGGTGTTTCTGGTACCAAAAGGTGT